TTACTTCAGTAAACATTTATTTTATTTCAAGTAACAAATCATTTTTTTATTTACTTTTTTAAGTTTTTAACTTTAGTTTTTTTAAGGTGCTAATTTTAGTTATTTTAATAATTTATGAATTAATAAGGGGAAGAAAAAAAATATATATATATACATTTTAGGTTCACCGTTTTTATAACTTGCTGAAATGAGATACATTTTTTTCAGAGCATCTATTCAACTGTACAATCAAACCCTGATTTAATTTAGCATTCTAACAGTATATCTGTGTTTGACCTTTTCTTTGTCGTGGACACACCTATTTGTTATTGACCGCTAAGCTGTTTCAGTTAATTGCTATGAAATGTATAGCATATTAATAAATGAGCATAGGTATACAAATGAATGGAAATAAGACAAAAACAGTTAGTTGTAGAAATATTAATGGATAACTGGGTTGAGAAATGGTCCAGTTAAGTTTCTCAGGAATTGCTGTATAATTTCTGGGGCCGGGAACACCAGACATACTTTTGTCTGAAAAAAAATATTACTGGATAGAGTTACAGAAGCTATACTTATAAGCACTGCCAACAATTCATAATTCCACAGTCTGAGCTACAGGCCGAAAACCCTTGAGACATACTCGGTAGGCTTTTTCTCCTTAAATAGCATTTGATTTTTCTCATAGAAGAAAATCATATAGCATCTTGAATTCAATGTGATAGAAGTGTGACACTGGTATTCTTCTGTTTTTAGGAGTCCCTTTTCCTAAGAACTTTCAGCAGGTGTGCAAAAAGATACTGAGCCGCTTGTTTCGGGTGTTTGTACACGTGTACATCCATCACTTTGACATGATCTGTAGTATCGGAGCTGAGGCTCACATCAACACCTGCTACAAACACTACTACTACTTCATCTCTGAGTTCAGTCTCATCGACCATTCGGAGTTGGAGCCGCTGGTGAGAGAGAGCTGTGCTTTCATTACTGTGGCCACGTACACACTGCAGCGACATTCGGTTGTCAGTTTAACATGAGGCACTAACTAAAACTAAAAGTAAAATAAAAAAAATAGTTTCTCAGTGATACCTTTTAGCGCTTAATCCTGTTCAGTAAACACAGTTCAGTAATTTACAGCAGTGACAACCGCATTCTACAACTGAATTGACTCCAAAAAAATTCAGGTAGTGACGACCACATTTACAGAGATTCTACACAGTTTGTACGGAACTGAACTGAACAAATAGTTAACACATAACATATTGTGGTGCAGGAAATCACAGTGAAGTAGGCTACATCTTGACTCAGTGTTGCCAGATATCGCTATTAAAGTGGGAAGAGGCGTTATAAATAGAAAAAAGCCACAAACCAAAATATCTGCACCTGCCTACTTTATTAACTCCAAAAAATGGATCGCTTTATGAGCCGAGCCTAAACAACAAGCCCTAAGATGCTTATAAGCACTGCTTATAATAAGTGGACATGGCAACCCTTCAAGAGCAAGCTCTGCAAAATAACCTTCAAAACATAAATAAAACACAACGACTGTATATAACGACAGTCACTCCCAGGTTGTACAAAGTGTGTACATGGCCTGTGTCATATTGTAGTGAATCCCCTAAATTATCATTTCATGTGTACGGAACAGAACTCACTCTCAAAACTGATGATTGGCACCATGGTAACCATAGCAACGTTCCGGCATATTTTTTTTGACCAAAGTAATATTACAGCAACCAAAGAATCATTATTTTCTGTGATTTTAACTAAACCACAACAGCCGTTGTGTTTTGTTTATGTTTGGAATGCTACTTCATAGAGCGTGCTCTTGAAGGGTTGCCATGTCCACTTATTATAAGCAATGTTTATCAAGCGTCTGGGCTTCTTTGAGATTGGTGTTTAGGCTCGGCTCATTAAGCGATCCAATATATGGAGTTAATAAAGTAGGCAGGTGCAGGTCGCTATATTTTGCCATGTGGCTTATTTCTAAAATACTGTGTTTGGATTTGAGTTTATTATGGGCTTTTCTTTATTTGTCTTTTTTTCTTTCTTTCTTTTCTTTTTTTTGCAAGATTTCTTGCACCGCACATACAAAAAAAGATAACTGTGATATATGTTTAAATATGTTATTAACAACTAGTTGTCCCGTTCGTTTCTGCACACACCGCATAGAATTTTTGTAAATGAAGTTGTCACCATCTGGTTGTCACTCCCAAAAATGACTGAACTGTGTGTGAACAGAACAGGATTAAGCACTAAAAGGTGAATAGACAACCAAATTTAACTGCAGTGTGTATGTTGCCAATGTGTTGCCAATGTTATAATAATAACTGTTATTAGACACAAAATAATCAATTATGATAGTGGCAATTAGCAGAATTTACTTCTCTGTAGCTAATAGGTTTTATGAAAACTAGATGCTGACAGCACAATGCAAATGTGGTGTGTTTGTCATAATAACTTGGTCTTTTCTGTCTTCGCAGAAAGAAATGACAGAGAGGATCTGCCACTGAAAGATGTGGAGAACATTCAGACCAAAAGCACAATGTACTCGAGGTCTGGTCTAAGATCAGGCGAGATCAGAGACTCACAAATGAGCTAAAATGCAATACATCCTTGCTTCAGTATTACTGAAAAACTGTGGGTCCAGTAATTCAGCACATGTCCTTGAGACAGAAATTATGCACAGTAGCTCAAATTCTGCAGCACTGCTATGAAATGATGCATTGATTGCTTAGTATTGCATACATTTTGAGCATTTCACCATGTGACTTCAAAGATACTTAAAAAAAAGTGTTCCAGAGGGAAAGGTCTTGAAATGGCATGTCTACAACTTCTGCTAAGTTTTAGAGGTTACATTCTTGCTCTACCGTGTCTGTGCCAGTGGGGGCTGTTTAAATCAGGGCATGTGCAGTAAGACACTTTTTCCATACATGATGAATAGTACTCAACAGTATTATTCTTATTTCAGACATTTTGTTCTGACAATGTGACAATGTATTTTGTGCATGCACGTTTAAAATACAAACATTTTAAATGTAAAGACTCTTTTTTTTTTAAGAAATTGGATCTGAAAATCCATACCATAAGTTTCTCATAACAATGATACATCAATTTCTAACATTCCTTACTTTTCTTTATAATAGTAACAATAACAACAACAATAATAATGATAATAATAAGGTAGAGTTGGGAAAATGCTCTAAAAAAAAAGATACATTTTTGTTGTCGCTATGGACTACATAACATCAGTTATATATGATATGAGAATAGTAAGGCCTGCAGATAGGGAGTACGTGTTATTTAAGAAAAATATAATTATATTTTCATAATTTATTTTTCAAACCTAGTCTGTGGAGTAAAACACCCCCAGGGGGCCTGGCTCCATTACTGTAGTTACTCTGTTCTGAACATCAAATCCATCAAATTAGTTTTTCCATCTAGTGTATTGTAACTAGGTGGTTGAATAAAAATATTTGGACTTTATATTTAAAAATTACTCAAGTTAGCATCAGGTAGCTAGTTAGCTAGCCAGTTAGCATCAGCTAACAATATTGTTCAAATGGGCTATTATAATTTTGTAATTCATAATTATTGATTATATTATTTTTTAATTTTAAGCTAAAACTTCCTGAACTCTGATTTTGCTGTAAATGTATAAAGCAAATTGCTCTGTCAGACTGGGGGGCTTTTTATCCCACCTGTCCCACTAGGCCTCCTTGTTACAAATTTAATTTTTGTTAAAAAGATTTTTCATACTTGGTTTGTAATTTTATATCATTGTCACTAAAACCATGATAACTATTCTAGACACATTTAACTTTTGTTTCAATGAAAAAAATGACACAGTCCTTAAAGCTGCAGCTTTATGCTGCGTAACTTTTTTGTGTTCAAAATGTACAAAATGCATATAATAAGCGAGTACACCATGAATCCATTTTCCAAACCGTGTTTTTGGCTTGTCCTGAATCACTACGGTACACCTATAATAAGTGTTTATATTCGGACTATTTAGACTGGTTCGGGTAGGTACCGCTGCGGAGTAGCCTGGTACCTGCGTGATTCGCCGTAGACATAAACAGAGAGAAGTAGCTCCGGCTACAGTGTTCTTCCGCTAGACGCACTCAGTTCTGTTTATTAACCGCTAGAGCGCCAAAAGCTACGGAAGCGTTTTCCCCACTCTACACTAATCATATTTATGCATTCTCCAGGCCTTAACTATTTTTATTTTTATTTTTATTTCCAGGTTTCTCAGGATCATGGCAACATTAAAATAATGCCAGACTTAGAAAATAACCTATTTACTAATTACTAACCTAATTACTAAATTAACACACTAAAAAGGAAACGAATTCCACATGGAAAACTCTCACAGCAGAACATTTCAGATTAAACTCCAGGATTAGTATAATGACTAAAACTGAATCTAAAATGAAAACCATTTAAAAAAATCCTTACTTGAAATTTTTACTTGAAGTTTTATTTTAGCTAACATTTCTCATTTTAATTGAATTAAATGTAAAATAACTAAAACTGAAACTGAATGGACATAAAAAGCTACTAAAATGACAAACGCATTTTGTTACAATTTAAAATACATATAAAAACTGATTTAAAAATAAAAAATGAATCCAAAATTCGAAAGAATATTGAATCAAAATGAAATATTAATAATAATATCTCAGTGATGATACCATAACAACACCGACACTCGCTACACCTCACAGCCACACTACCGACTGCGTAACTCTTCTTACAGTGACTCAGCACTACGGACACGGTAGTCAGCTGGAGTCTTGATCGCTTAATTTGAGCGTATTCCTCCTTAGCCCCAGTCTGTGCGTGAGCCGGTAGTTCTCCAGTGCGAAATACGACTATATGAATGATTCGTGGCAGCAGCAACGTCTAGAATATGAATATATTCATTAGCTCATGCTTACGTGACCTCGTCATTTCCCTCGTACGTGCAGTCACGTAGCCTAATTAATATTCATGAGCCCACTCATGATCCTCAAGTACACCGCAGCGTCCAGCAGGAGGAGGGCAGTCGGCGCGTTTGGGGTGGTGTTGTTGTGTTTCTCTGTTGGTTGTCCTCCTGCTGCTCACTGCTGCTGTTCAGCGCGGAGGCAATCACGGCACAGCTAGACTCATTCGGCTGCAATTTCCAGGTTTGAGTCTTTTTTTTTTTTTTTTTTAAACATGCGTAAATTATATATACGTAATTGGCATTTTACGTGAGCTCAAGTAGCTTCTACTAAATTAAGCTCGCTGAGCTTTACGTGTGTGGCTGTACTGGTCGCTCGATTCGCGCCAGTGAGTCGTTAGGTCGCTAAAGTTATTCAGAAATCATTATCTTTTCGGTTAGCTCTATCACAGCTCTGCTGACACGGCTACACTTGTTGCTTTTCCTCGTAACTCAGTTACAGTTCATGGTCTTCTTGTTTTAAAGGGACAGTTCACTCAAAAAAAGAATTCTGTCATTGATTCGTCCAAACAGGGGCTTCGTGGAGCATTAAAGAGGGACTGACCCTCAGTCTCCATTCACTTGTGCAGTGAACGCTTGTGCTTGTCCTCACAGAGAAAAAGAAAGAAAGAAAAAAGCCATACGGGTTTGGAATATATTTGTTAGAATGTGCGGATGAACTGTTCAGTCAGTGTTAACTTGCAGCTACTGTTGCTTTAAATATGTAAATTTTTCCAGCCCGCTGCAATGCTGACCCAATATTCCCGCCTATTACCCAACAACCGTTATTATTTATTAACGAATGGCGATATCTCTTATACTACGATTGATATTATTTTCCGATACGCCACGTAATTTAATCCACCTTCATGTAAAACAGTAATATATCGTGTTGAGTGTGCCGGACTTTCCCCTCAGCATTCAGATGAGAAGCGCTTGACCAGACACGTCTCGACATTCATATCCTGCTCTGAAGAAAACCAGCTGTCACGCTCAGGTGACCAGCTCTGCCCAGTCTAGTGTAGGTATTTCATGCAAGATATGGGGAGAAGTTTTGAAACACGTTAAGTTAGTCATGATAGGCTTGTTTGAGAAATCTGACAAGTGCTCACTTCCTCTTCCTCTTATGAACGTTCATGTTTACAGGACATTGACAGTGAAGTGCTAACTTAAAATATGATCATTTAGTCTTGCACTAATTTTTATGATGGAAATATAATGCTCATTTAGACTTTAAACCTTTATGGAGGAGCATATAAAGCAGACAAGTTCACATCAGTGTTTGTGCATATGAATGTCAATGACCGTCTGGCTCTGGCTCACCCCACTGGAAATGCTCAAATAAACATACTTTGCAATTGCTTTTTGTTTTTATGCTTGATGCTTTACATAATGCAAATAAGCTTCTTCTTTTTTTCAGCAGCCTTGGTTCCGGAAGTATTTTCCCCAATCATTTTCACATAGGGATATTTAAAAAGTCTTTATTATGCCTTGAACCGAAGCAACCAGCTGTTCTGAGACTAACACTAGCATTGTTTTGAGTGTAAATGTTTCTCTCTTTCTCTCAGATAACCAGTTGTGCTCTGGTATCTGGCCAGTTGGAGAGCCGTGGTCTGATCTCTCACGCCCCCAACAGCCCCGCAGGTACAGCTGCTCATGATGAAACGTTTGAAAACACACCCTTCAAATCATGCAATCATTTCAAAGACTGAATTCTCACAGAGTACTTCTGAGAATCTGTGATGTAACATCTGTGGTTTTGTGGTTTTTATTTTGGGATAAGGAATGGAGAGCAGTCAACCTATCACCATCACAGACCTGGTTACACGGCGGAAGAAGAAACGCAGAACTCGGGCCACGGACAGTTTCACTGGCAAATTTAGTGGTACTGAACCATCTAGAAAATTACAAAAACTCTTATTAATCCTCATAATGTGCACCTTCTTGTTCTATGGTTTACCCCGCATTTTCAGTCTGTATAATCTGTGTCGTGCATCATCAGATCTTTCAGAATGTTTGATTGCACATCCTCCCAACATTTCCTGATTGGGTAAGCTGTGAGTCAATTCACATTTCACAAGTGTGTGTGTGTGTGTGTGTGTGTTGCAGATCTGTACAAGCTGACGGACGAGCTGCTGGGTCAGGGAGCTTATGCTAAAGTCCAGGGCTGTGTGAGTTTACAGAACGGCAATGAATATGCTGTGAAGGTGAGATGTGAGTAACAGGGTTTCTGTGGGTATTAAAAAAGTCTTTATAAAGTCTTAATTCTCCCTTCCACAAAATTAAAGCCTTAAAAAGGTAGAAAAGTCTTAATTTCATAAACTCTTGGCATTAAATGTTGCATGCACTGCAAAAAAATGTATATTTTTTGTCTTGGTTTCCAGTACAAATATCCTTAAATCAAGATACATTTGCTTGAGATGCAGAATGAAGATAAGAAGTCTTGATTTCTGAGAAATTGAACAAAATGAAGTGAGTTTGTTTAAAACAAAAACAAATATCTGTCAATGGGGAATGAAAACTTGTTTTCCCTTTGAAATACCGTATTGGCCCGAATATAAGACGACCCCCCCTTTTTCCAGATGTACCTTTTGAAAAAAGGCTTTTTAAAAACCAAATCTTGTTTTTTCTCAGTAAAACACATTTTGTCTTCAATTATTTTCATATTGCATATTTTTCCTATTTTAATTTTTGTTTTGAAAGTATGGTAAAAACTGGTCAAATGTGCCAACAATCACATTTAAAAAATATACACTTTTTGATATACCATAAAAAAAAAAAAAACATGAATTAGGACATTTAGGCTATCCATCTAATCGTAGCCTACCAAAATCTTATTAACAGTAGAAGTTAAATTTTACTGTAGTCTTCAAATCTGGGTACTGTCTTACGTTTTAAAATCACAGGTTTTATGAAAACTAGATGCTGACAGCACAATGCAAATGTGGTGTGTTTGTCATAATAACTTGGTCTTTTCTGTCTTCGCAGAAAGAAATGACAGAGAGGATCTGCCACTGAAAGATGTGGAGAACATTCAGACCAAAAGCACAATGTACTCGAGGTCTGGTCTAAGATCAGGCGAGATCAGAGACTCACAAATGAGCTAAAATGCAATACATCCTTGCTTCAGTATTACTGAAAAACTGTGGGTCCAGTAATTCAGCACATGTCCTTGAGACAGAAATTATGCACAGTAGCTCAAATTCTGCAGCACTGCTATGAAATGATGCATTGATTGCTTAGTATTGCATACATTTTGAGCATTTCACCATGTGACTTCAAAGATACTTAAAAAAAAGTGTTCCAGAGGGAAAGGTCTTGAAATGGCATGTCTACAACTTCTGCTAAGTTTTAGAGGTTACATTCTTGCTCTACCGTGTCTGTGCCAGTGGGGGCTGTTTAAATCAGGGCATGTGCAGTAAGACACTTTTTCCATACATGATGAATAGTACTCAACAGTATTATTCTTATTTCAGACATTTTGTTCTGACAATGTGACAATGTATTTTGTGCATGCACGTTTAAAATACAAACATTTTAAATGTAAAGACTCTTTTTTTTTTAAGAAATTGGATCTGAAAATCCATACCATAAGTTTCTCATAACAATGATACATCAATTTCTAACATTCCTTACTTTTCTTTATAATAGTAACAATAACAACAACAATAATAATAATGATAATAATAAGGTAGAGTTGGGAAAATGCTCTAAAAAAAAAGATACATTTTTGTTGTCGCTATGGACTACATAACATCAGTTATATATGATATGAGAATAGTAAGGCCTGCAGATAGGGAGTACGTGTTATTTAAGAAAAATATAATTATATTTTCATAATTTATTTTTCAAACCTAGTCTGTGGAGTAAAACACCCCCAGGGGGCCTGGCTCCATTACTGTAGTTACTCTGTTCTGAACATCAAATCCATCAAATTAGTTTTTCCATCTAGTGTATTGTAACTAGGTGGTTGAATAAAAATATTTGGACTTTATATTTAAAAATTACTCAAGTTAGCATCAGGTAGCTAGTTAGCTAGCCAGTTAGCATCAGCTAACAATATTGTTCAAATGGGCTATTATAATTTTGTAATTCATAATTATTGATTATATTATTTTTTTAATTTTAAGCTAAAACTTCCTGAACTCTGATTTTGCTGTAAATGTATAAAGCAAATTGCTCTGTCAGACTGGGGGGCTTTTTATCCCACCTGTCCCACTAGGCCTCCTTGTTACAAATTTAATTTTTGTTAAAAAGATTTTTCATACTTGGTTTGTAATTTTATATCATTGTCACTAAAACCATGATAACTATTCTAGACACATTTAACTTTTGTTTCAATGAAAAAAATGACACAGTCCTTAAAGCTGCAGCTTTATGCTGCGTAACTTTTTTGTGTTCAAAATGTACAAAATGTATATAATAAGCGAGTACACCATGAATCCATTTTCCAAACCGTGTTTTTGGCTTGTCCTGAATCACTACGGTACACCTATAATAAGTGTTTATATTCGGACTATTTAGACTGGTTCGGGTAGGTACCGCTGCGGAGTAGCCTGGTACCTGCGTGATTCGCCGTAGACATAAACAGAGAGAAGTAGCTCCGGCTACAGTGTTCTTCCGCTAGACGCACTCAGTTCTGTTTATTAACCGCTAGAGCGCCAAAAGCTACGGAAGCGTTTTCCCCACTCTACACTAATCATATTTATGCATTCTCCAGGCCTTAACTATTTTTATTTTTATTTTTATTTCCAGGTTTCTCAGGATCATGGCAACATTAAAATAATGCCAGACTTAGAAAATAACCTATTTACTAATTACTAACCTAATTACTAAATTAACACACTAAAAAGGAAACGAATTCCACATGGAAAACTCTCACAGCAGAACATTTCAGATTAAACTCCAGGATTAGTATAATGACTAAAACTGAATCTAAAATGAAAACCATTAAAAAAAATCCTTACTTGAAATTTTTACTTGAAGTTTTAATTTAGCTAACATTTCTCATTTTAATTTAATTAAATGTAAAATAACTAAAACTGAAACTGAATGGACATAAAAAGCTACTAAAATGACAAACGCATTTTGTTACAATTTAAAATACATATAAAAACTGATTTAAAAATAAAAAATGAATCCAAAATTCGAAAGAATATTGAATCAAAATGAAATATTAATAATAATATCTCAGTGATGATACCATAACAACACCGACACTCGCTACACCTCACAGCCACACTACCGACTGCGTAACTCTTCTTACAGTGACTCAGCACTACGGACACGGTAGTCAGCTGGAGTCTTGATCGCTTAATTTGAGCGTATTCCTCCTTAGCCCCAGTCTGTGCGTGAGCCGGTAGTTCTCCAGTGCGAAATACGACTATATGAATGATTCGTGGCAGCAGCAACGTCTAGAATATGAATATATTCATTAGCTCATGCTTACGTGACCTCGTCATTTCCCTCGTACGTGCAGTCACGTAGCCTAATTAATATTCATGAGCCCACTCATGATCCTCAAGTACACCGCAGCGTCCAGCAGGAGGAGGGCAGTCGGCGCGTTTGGGGTGGTGTTGTTGTGTTTCTCTGTTGGTTGTCCTCCTGCTGCTCACTGCTGCTGTTCAGCGCGGAGGCAATCACGGCACAGCTAGACTCATTCGGCTGCAATTTCCAGGTTTGAGTCTTTTTTTTTTTTTTTTTTAAACATGCGTAAATTATATATACGTAATTGGCATTTTACGTGAGCTCAAGTAGCTTCTACTAAATTAAGCTCGCTGAGCTTTACGTGTGTGGCTGTACTGGTCGCTCGATTCGCGCCAGTGAGTCGTTAGGTCGCTAAAGTTATTCAGAAATCATTATCTTTTCGGTTAGCTCTATCACAGCTCTGCTGACACGGCTACACTTGTTGCTTTTCCTCGTAACTCAGTTACAGTTCATGGTCTTCTTGTTTTAAAGGGACAGTTCACTCAAAAAAAGAATTCTGTCATTGATTCGTCCAAACAGGGGCTTCGTGGAGCATTAAAGAGGGACTGACCCTCAGTCTCCATTCACTTGTGCAGTGAACGCTTGTGCTTGTCCTCACAGAGAAAAAGAAAGAAAGAAAAAAGCCATACGGGTTTGGAATATATTTGTTAGAATGTGCGGATGAACTGTTCAGTCAGTGTTAACTTGCAGCTACTGTTGCTTTAAATATGTAAATTTTTCCAGCCCGCTGCAATGCTGACCCAATATTCCCGCCTATTACCCAACAACCGTTATTATTTATTAACGAATGGCGATATCTCTTATACTACGATTGATATTATTTTCCGATACGCCACGTAATTTAATCCACCTTCATGTAAAACAGTAATATATCGTGTTGAGTGTGCCGGACTTTCCCCTCAGCATTCAGATGAGAAGCGCTTGACCAGACACGTCTCGACATTCATATCCTGCTCTGAAGAAAACCAGCTGTCACGCTCAGGTGACCAGCTCTGCCCAGTCTAGTGTAGGTATTTCATGCAAGATATTAACCGCTAGAGCGCCAAAAGCTACGGAAGCGTTTTCCCCACTCTACACTAATCATATTTATGCATTCTCCAGGCCTTAACTATTTTTATTTTTATTTTTAGGTTTCTCAGGATCATGGCAACATTAAAATAATGCCAGACTTAGAAAATAACCTATTTACTAATTACTAACCTAATTACTAAATTAACACACTAAAAAGGAAACGAATTCCACATGGAAAACTCTCACAGCAGAACATTTCAGATTAAACTCCAGGATTAGTATAATGACTAAAACTGAATCTAAAATGAAAACCATTAAAAAAAATCCTTACTTGAAATTTTTACTTGAAGTTTTAATTTAGCTAACATTTCTCATTTTAATTTAATTAAATGTAAAATAACTAAAACTGAAACTGAATGGACATAAAAAGCTACTAAAATGACAAACGCATTTTGTTACAATTTAAAATACATATAAAAACTGATTTAAAAATAAAAAATGAATCCAAAATTCGAAAGAATATTGAATCAAAATGAAATATTAATAATAATATCTCAGTGATGATACCATAACAACACCGACACTCGCTACACCTCACAGCCACACTACCGACTGCGTAACTCTTCTTACAGTGACTCAGCACTACGGACACGGTAGTCAGCTGGAGTCTTGATCGCTTAATTTGAGCGTATTCCTCCTTAGCCCCAGTCTGTGCGTGAGCCGGTAGTTCTCCAGTGCGAAATACGACTATATGAATGATTCGTGGCAGCAGCAACGTCTAGAATATGAATATATTCATTAGCTCATGCTTACGTGACCTCGTCATTTCCCTCGTACGTGCAGTCACGTAGCCTAATTAATATTCATGAGCCCACTCATGATCCTCAAGTACACCGCAGCGTCCAGCAGGAGGAGGGCAGTCGGCGCGTTTGGGGTGGTGCTGTTGTGTTTCTCTGTTGGTTGTCCTCCTGCTGCTCACTGCTGCTGTTCAGCGCGGAGGCAATCACGGCACAGCTAGACTCATTCGGCTGCAATTTCCAGGTTTGAGTCTTTTTTTTTTTTTTTTTTAAACATGCGTAAATTATATATACGTAATTGGCATTTTACGTGAGCTCAAGTAGCTTCTACTAAATTAAGCTCGCTGAGCTTTACGTGTGTGGCTGTACTGGTCGCTCGATTCGCGCCAGTGAGTCGTTAGGTCGCTAAAGTTATTCAGAAATCATTATCTTTTCGGTTAGCTCTATCACAGCTCTGCTGACACGGCTACACTTGTTGCTTTTCCTCGTAACTCAGTTACAGTTCATGGTCTTCTTGTTTTAAAGGGACAGTTCACTCAAAAAAAGAATTCTGTCATTGATTCGTCCAAACAGGGGCTTCGTGGAGCATTAAAGAGGGACTGACCCTCAGTCTCCATTCACTTGTGCAGTGAACGCTTGTGCTTGTCCTCACAGAGAAAAAGAAAGAAAGAAAAAAGCCATACGGGTTTGGAATATATTTGTTAGAATGTGCGGATGAACTGTTCAGTCAGTGTTAACTTGCAGCTACTGTTGCTTTAAATATGTAAATTTTTCCAGCCCGCTGCAATGCTGACCCAATATTCCCGCCTATTACCCAACAACCGTTATTATTTATTAACGAATGGCGATATCTCTTATACTACGATTGATATTATTTTCCGATACGCCACGTAATTTAATCCACCTTCATGTAAAACAGTAATATATCGTGTTGAGTGTGCCGGACTTTCCCCTCAGCATTCAGATGAGAAGCGCTTGACCAGACACGTCTCGACATTCATATCCTGCTCTGAAGAAAACCAGCTGTCACGCTCAGGTGACCAGCTCTGCCCAGTCTAGTGTAGGTATTTCATGCAAGATATGGGGAGAAGTTTTGAAACACGTTAAGTTAGTCATGATAGGCTTGTTTGAGAAATCTGACAAGTGCTCACTTCCTCTTCCTCTTATGAACGTTCATGTTTACAGGACATTGACAGTGAAGTGCTAACTTAAAATATGATCATTTAGTCTTGCACTAATTTTTATGATGGAAATATAATGCTCATTTAGACTTTAAACCTTTATGGAGGAGCATATAAAGCAGACAAGTTCACATCAGTGTTTGTGCATATGAATGTCAATGACCGTCTGGCTCTGGCTCACCCCACTGGAAATGCTCAAATAAACATACTTTGCAATTGCTTTTTGTTTTTATGCTTGATGCTTTACATAATGCAAATAAGCTTCTTCTTTTTTTCAGCAGCCTTGGTTCCGGAAGTATTTTCCCCAATCATTTTCACATAGGGATATTTAAAAAGTCTTTATTATGCCTTGAACCGAAGCAACCAGCTGTTCTGAGACTAACACTAGCATTGTTTTGAGTGTAAATGTTTCTCTCTTTCTCTCAGATAACCAGTTGTGCTCTGGTATCTGGCCAGTTGGAGAGCCGTGGTCTGATCTCTCACGCCCCCAACAGCCCCGCAGGTACAGCTGCTCATGATGAAACGTTTGAAAACACACCCTTCAAATCATGCAATCATTTCAAAGACTGAATTCTCACAGAGTACTTCTGAGAATCTGTGATGTAACATCTGTGGTTTTGTGGTTTTTATTTTGGGATAAGGAATGGAGAGCAGTCAACCTATCACCATCACAGACCTGGTTACACGGCGGAAGAAGAAACGCAGAACTCGGGCCACGGACAGTTTCACTGGCAAATTTAGTGGTACTGAACCATCTAGAAAATTACAAAAACTCTTATTAATCCTCATAATGTGCACCTTCTTGTTCTATGGTTTACCCCGCATTTTCAGTCTGTATAATCTGTGTCGTGCATCATCAGATCTTTCAGAATGTTTGATTGCACATCCTCCCAACATTTCCTGATTGGGTAAGCTGTGAGTCAATTCACATTTCACAAGTGTGTGTGTGTGTGTGTGTGTGTTGCAGATCTGTACAAGCTGACGGACGAGCTGCTGGGTCAGGGAGCTTATGCTAAAGTCCAGGGCTGTGTGGGTTTACAGAACGGCAATGAATATGCTGTGAAGGTGAGATGTGAGTAACAGGGTTTCTGTGGGTATTAAAAAAGTCTTTATAAAGTCTTAATTCTCCCTTCCACAAAATTAAAGCCTTAAAAAGGTAGAAAAGTCTTAATTTCATAAACTCTTGGCATTAAATGTTGCATGCACTGCAAAAAAATGTATATTTTTTGTCTTGGTTTCCAGTACAAATATCCTTAAATCAAGATACATTTGCTTGAGATGCAGAATGAAGATAAGAAGTCTTGATTTCTGAGAAATTGAACAAAATGAAGTGAGTTTGTTTAAAACAAAAACAAATATCTGTCAATGGGGAATGAAAACTTGTTTTCCCTTTGAAATACCGTATTGGCCCGAATATAAGACGACCCCCCCTTTTTCCAGATGTACCCTGAGCCCATTGCCAGATTTTTTAATTTTTTTTTTTAATCGTGAACTCACTTAATTTTGATAAATGTCACAGAAAACATGACTCCTTATATTTGCTTGTCAAGTAAATGTTTATTTATTTGAACAATTTTAGAGATTTGCTCTGGAAAACAAGACAAATACTGATTAAGAGCATCTTCTCTTTCTTAAATTTTTTTTGCTGTGTGATCAGAGGGTCCAATAAAAGCTATTTTCTAGGGCTGTCAGTCAATTAAATTTTTAATCTTAATTAATTACATGATCCAGTAGACATTACAAAAAGTAGCTTTAGAAAGAGATATTTTATAGATTCAACATAAAGTGTATTACACATAAATGTTTAGGCTACAATGACCCTAACATAAAAGAAGATTATTTGAGAAACAGCTCAGTATTTTTTGTTCATACAATGAAAGATGTTGGTAACCAAAACAGCTTTGTTAACTATAGTCCAACAGTCTTCAAAATATGGTCCACAAAAGAAAGTATACTGTATGTCATGCAGGTTTTTAATTTTTCCGCAAATTATCCCTTTAATGTTTTTTTTTTTTTAGTATGGAAATATGATTATTTTATCTTATATTATTTTACTATTATTAATGAAATGATACTCTAAATAAAAAAACTAAAACGGCCAGCAGGTTGTAATTGATGTCTTTATGATTAAGTCATCAGAGATCGGTTGGAAGTTGTATTTTCAAACTTTGAAGGGTTTCACATTGTTTTGCTTTGTCAAACAAACATAATAAATGACTTTGTGTGTAACGTGGGGCTACATTTCTCAGATAATCGAGAAGAACGCTGGTCACAGTCGCAGTAGAGTTTTCAGAGAGGTGGAGACGCTTTACCAGTGTCAAGGAAATAAGTATGATCTTATTCCACAATAGTCATCATACTTAATTATATACTTTATATATAATTATACTCAATCACACAAATTACTGTAATTGATTGTAGTTCGTATTATACATAACTGCACACATTATGTGTTTCTCTACAGGAACATTCTGGAGCTCATTCAGTTTTTTGAAGATGAATGCTGTTTTTATCTGGTATTTGAGAAGTTGCGTGGAGGTACTGTACAGTTGTATAGAGGTAAAATACAGTTGCATTTTCATTCTTGGGTATTTATTTTCTAAATAGGTTTCTCTTTCCCTCTCAGGTTCCATTTTAACACACATCCAGCATCGAAAATACTTTGATGAGAGAGAGGCTAGTCATGTGGTCAGGGATATAGCACATGCACTGGACTTTTTGCACAACAAAGGTAAGTACTGTACACTGGTCCACTGACCATGACTCGGCGCGAGTGTGTTTACATAGACTTGTCTCACTATTTCCAACAGGAATCGCTCACCGGGACCTTAAGCCTGAAAATATCCTGTGTGAATATACTGATAAGGTAACACATGCATTTTGACTTTGGTATTAGTTTGTGTAGTTTGTCTGGTTACAGAAGGATTAAGGTTGGGAGAATCAAGAAAGACTAGTCAGCAAGGACAAAAAATGCATTATTTTACATCAAACATTAATATACATTACTAATAAAAAGTTTGGGATTGGTAAGATTTGTTTTAATGTTCATCAAGGCTGCATTTATTTGATCAGAAATTATTTAAAATAACTATTTTCTATTCTACTATGTAGGGCTGCCCCCTAATAGTCGACTAGGTGACCGTTAGTCGACGAGAAGAGGCTTAGTCGATCAATTTTATTAGTCGTGAAGAAAATAATCCACAGGAAATGGCAAAGTCACGTAGTCTGTGATGGACAGATCATTATCAGCTGGTCTATGTGGTAGTACATCGGACTTCCAAACGTTCGTTTCGTTCGTCGACCTCAAATGTGGCTTATCATCTGAGACATGTAGTAGTAGTAGTAGTAGCAGCAACATTACATGGCTGCCTGTTTTAACGTTAACCTAGAAAAATGTGTGCTATTCAAGTGTTTGTGCAGAGTGTGGAAGCTGAATAGCAGCGCACTCACTGCATGACAGTTAACTTGGAGTCACCGGTGCGATCATTTGCATTTAACTTAAAATTAGAGATCGACCGATATATCGATTTACCGATATTTGTCCCGATATTTAAGCCTTTTACCATTATCGATTTTGTAATATCGGATTCACGGATAAACGCCAGCCATCTTGTGGGTGTTTTGAGAATTGCGCACAGGGTCGCCATTGCAGCATGGCGTCTGAGGGGAGACGAGACAACAACAACAGCGTGCATAGGTAAACCATATGTACTTGCTTTGCTGTAATTAGTAAACTTCATAACAGCCATTAATGCACATAATAGATGTGTTACATAAATGCCTGAAATGTAGCTAGTTTATGCAGCTTGTCTCTAAGAAATAAAGACGAACTCACTGAGTCACGTAAGAAAATCCGTCAAGTCCTGTCCCAATAAAGACGTAACTTTGCCTGAGTTAAATAATATACAGCCATGAATGAGCGCATGTTGGAAATAAAAGCGCTGAATTTAATTCTCTCTCTGTTGTCTATGCTCATCATTAGTCTTGTGAAGGCGTCTGCATTTTGCTGTTCACTCACCGGGTTGATGCTCAAGAAATGCTCCAGCACGGCCACAGTATGTAACTTTTAACAAGATTCACTTGTTTAAAACACCCTAAATTGTATTAACATTTACTATATAACCATTATTTCGCTAATACACATCTAAATAAATACAACTCTATGGAAATTAATTATTTATTATCTCCGCAGTAAATAAATATTGGTTCTGCATATCGGTTATCGGGCACATAAACATGCAAATAATTGGTATCGGTTATTAAAAAAAAAATCAATATCGGTCGATCACTACTTAAAATAATTTAAGTAGTGTCATTTATTAGTAATTTTTGCTCATACAGAGTAATACATCTTTCAAATTTGTAAAAGGTTTACATTTATTTGTGTGCACTCACAATATCAGCAAAACGTTGTGCTTTTGTAAAATAATGAAAGCAAATGGTGCGCTTTGTGCCATCTTGGTCAGATTGAACTTGAAATTGAAAAATTAACTGAAAGTCTGTGCTTGCCACACAGACATGAAAGATATATCTAAGCAAAATGTCTACTTTTAAATGAACCAAATTCAAATGGAAAACAAATATTTTCAGATTATGTAATCCGTATGAAACATGCACGTCCACTGTGGAGAAGACGAGTCAGTGTCAGCGACTTTATCAGTGCAGCCAAAACTACAGAAAACTAGTTTATCAATGAATTATTATAATGTTAAGGCAGTCTTCTTGCTGTTTTTTCCCCCTGACGCATTCATAATCATTACTTCTGCCGGTGTGCTGTGGCAAGTGTTATGTGTGTGCTTGAGTGCTGATATGCTATAGGCAATTAAAGGCTCATTATTATGAATGATATGGTTTATTAATATTAAAGTGCGATAAGTCGACTAATTGCTAAAAATGAACGACGACTAGTCAACTAGAAAAATCTTTAGTCAAGGGCAGCCCTACTACTATGTTTTAAAATGTAATTGTTGTAACTCTTGTTATTCTATAATGTTATTCGTTGATGTCAAAGCTGAATGTTCATTACTCCAGTCTTCAGTTGTCACATGATCCTTCAGAAATCATTCTGATATGCTCAGTTTGATGCTCAAAAAACATCTCTGATTATTATCAATGTTGAAAACTACAGAGCTCCATACATGACATGCAGGAAGGAATGTATAGTAATAGAATTAAGAACTCGTTCCCACAACTAATTCATGACCATGATGTACTAATGATGTACTAAACTCCCCGAGATTAGAGAAGCAGTCGACAGGAAAATGACGGGAACGCAAAAAAGATTGGGGTTGTACTGCTGTGAATTTTAACCACTGATTTTTTCCAGCCTCATCTTATGGAAGTGAAAATAAAACGAATTTACTTTCACAGCATAGGACACAGCAACTTCTCGACACAAACAAACTACAGTGTTTGAATAAAAGTATTCATTTCTAACTGAACCCAACCTTTTGAACAGTAGTGTTTGTATGTTTAAGATCTAGCCAGTCTTAATTGTAAGGAGTATTTTGCATTTATTTAGGTTTCTCCTGTGAAGATCTGTGATTTTGACCTCGGGAGTGGAGTGAAGCTGAACAGTGCCTGTACCCCAATAACTACCCCTGAGCTCACCACACCGGTAATCACATTCTCACATAGAACTGTAAATGTGTTAGAGCAGCATGTTTTGAGGGATGTGTTTTGTCCTCTAGTGTGGCTCAGCTGAGTACATGGCTCCTGAGGTGGTCGAGGTCTTTACGGATGAGGCTTCGTTCTATGATAAGCGCTGTGACCTCTGGAGCCTTGGAGTAATTCTCTACATCCTGCTCAGCGGGAGTCCTCCCTTCACTGGCCACTGCGGCACCAACTGTGGCTGGGAAAGAGGAGAGACATGTCGTGCCTGCCAGGTAAGGCACACGCTAAATCAAAAATGTAGAGAATTCATGTCATCCACATAGACAACTTAAAAGTGTTGTCCACTCCTGTTCAGAACAACCTGTTTGAGAGGATTCAGGAGGGGAAATATGAATTTGGGGATGGAGTCTGGGCTCAGATCTCAACCGATGCCAAAGATCTGATCTCGCGGCTGCTGGTGCGAGATGCCACTCTACGGCTGAGTGCTGCACAGGTCCTGAAGCATCCCTGGGTGCAAGGGGTGAGACGTTAGCTCTATTTTTCTTAAAGCCTTTTTGATTCCATCTTTTTACTTGTTACTTGTTTACTTGCATTTTAATTATTTCAATAGGAGCAGTTAAAGGCACAATATGTAATCTTTTTTTATTAAAATATCCAAAAACCACTAGAACAGTGTTATACAGGGTTCGTACAGTCATTAAAAACCTGGAAAAGTCATGGAATTTTAAAACACCAATTTCCAGGCCTGGAAGCTTTCAATAGGAGCAGTTAAAGGCACAATATGTAATATTTTTTTATTAAAATATCCAAAAACCACTAGAACAGTGTTATACAGGGTTCGTACAGTCATTAAAAACCTGGAAAAGTCATGGAATTTTAAAACACCAATTTCCAGGCCTGGAAGTTTTGGAAAAATAAATAAAAACAGAAAGTTTTGGAAAAGTCATTGAAATCTATTTCACAAAACTCTGTATAATAGAATTGTTTAATCAGGTCCTGAATTTCGGTGCGGGATTTCGCATAGGCTATATCGCATAGTTTTGCTCATTCCTGCAGCTTTTGACTTTAAAAAGATGGATATTCACACATTTATTCAATAGCCTATAGCATGTAGGTTTGATGAGTAAATAATCAAACCTACAGACGGAGTCCAGTCCACACAGACCGATCAAATCAGTCATTTGAAAACAGCGTGTGTGATTCAGCTGTACGCGTCTTTTCTCTTCGACTTTTTTTCTTCAAACGGCTTCACATCGGCGCATCTTGTCTGCGCTACAAGAGCCGCTGCACGCTGCGATACAAGACTTTCACTCGCGTTTCGGGACAGTTGACAGAATAGTCACTTGCCTAATTGGGTCATTGTTGCATCGTCAGAAAATTGTATTATTTATTTGCAAGTCTTTTTAAGCCATACGGTCCTCGCGCGCTCCAGAGGCGGTGCGCAGTCACATCCAAAGTGCGATCGTGCATATATGAGTATTGAGTTTGCTACCAAATAAGCTCAGCAGAACCCTGCACGGGCCTCAAACATATGCCCTAGTCCGCCCCTTATCCAACAGATTATCAGAATTACTGGCCGAGTCCGACTGGACCCCGTGTCTTTTTTCTCTTTCTCTCTTCCCCAATTACACAGCTGCTGTTGTAGCCATTAAAATAGTTCAGTTTAGTTTTTAATGGCAAAAGTGGTTATATATAATTTTGTTTCTTTATTACGTTAATTTAGACATATATGTTTGGAAAATGTTTTTGTTTGTTAAATTCAAGTTGTTTTTTTTTTTGTTTTTTTTAAGTAACGACCAAGCGACCAGTGGCAGACAGTGAGTTAATCATA